GACTGTAAAGTTATGTAATGTCCAAATTTCCACGTGAGCAGCAGGTCACTCGCGTTGATTTTTCGACGTGCGAGCCAAATAACGCGAGCTGAACTTTCGCGTCGCAGACATCCCGTCGACGCGCAGAAAAACTAAATCTGCAGACTCTTTAGCCGTCGGACAGGATACGTATTTTAGGAGACTGCTAAGTTATGTAATGTGCTCCACAGGCAACCATGCATTCGGCGTCGTCATTGGCTCAACAGGTCAATGTACATGTATTACTACAAAAAGGCCAGAAAATCCGATTACTGTATTAAAATCAACTAATTTTCGCTGGCGATTTAATTTCGCTGATTTCGCCGCTTGGTACCAACCGGCCAAAGTAAATCACAGGCCAAAGTTTGTCATAATTATAGGAAATTAATGCATTATTGAGCAATGGATGCATGTGAGAGCAAAAATACCTATCGATTTCAAATTTGACGTGAAATTGCGCGTCACGTCGGAAATAACGTGCATCTTAACCTCTCTAATAGAGAGGTTTCTAATTTTCTCATCAGCCAAAATTTGTTGATTTACAGTATAAGGAGATAAAAAGAAAAAAAGGAGCAAACCAAAAGAAGATAATTATTAGAGAAATAACAATCCGCAATAAATTCTGCAAATACTTTTGCCTCAGTTCTTATAACATGTACGATGAGCTAGGCAAAAAAGCATAAAAGCATAGCGTAGGGCCCTGAGCTTCCAAGCTCTCTCGTTGATTGCGGTTAAAAAAAGCTTACGTGGAGATAAAAGTGTAATTAAGGCAATACATAGACTTCTCACTTTTGACTCTTGGCCCCGAGTACTTGGCTGACCTCGTAAAATCATCACGCCAGGATAGATAAAATTAATGATTGTGATGTTTTGCCACGTCGAGCGCCTCACCCAGCGTGGACTCGGCTCACCCTTACCGGTGCCATCTCCTTACGGAGCCACCAAACAACATTATCCATCTGGTCCTCGAGGAGAGAGCCTTTCCAACGTGCTCTTCTGAGGCAATTCAGAACATGCTGTTTAGAGGCCCTGAAATCGTACCCGCCCACGTATGCCTTTTCGTGGATCTGCAGATCAACGTCGAGAATCATTATTTCACGGTAGTAGCTGCAGTGTGCTGGTGCCACGGCCGCCATAAGGAGATTCGTCGTGTACCCAGATGCCCACCAGTGAGCGGCGTCAAGGTGTGCGTTGTAGGGCAGTAGAAACGGCGCGGCCGAACGATGGTAGGCCATGAATAAATGATCCACGTGGCAGCGCTGCATGCATCCCAGACAATGCCTGCTGGTCCACGGATACTCCGCGCTGGCCACGTCCTTGTAGGAAATGCTGGCGCGCATACGTCAATCTCATATCAACAGACTGTGCAGCCAGAGCAATTGTGCGTCGTCACTGGACTTCTTCGGTATCTCTTCCGCCGGATTCGATGCCGGACGTTGTGAGAAATACACATCCTCGTTGAAGTAGAGTAGAAACTCAAAACGCCAGCCCTGATCTTCTTCTAGCTGGTAGGCTACCTCCAACTGCTTGTTTCTGCCTGTGGTCCAGGTGGAATTGGGGTAAAACAGCGGTACAAACTTCTCACTTTTGACTCTTGGCCCCGAGTACTTGGCTGACCTCGTAAAATCATCACGCCAGGATAGATGATGGTGACGTTTTTCCACGTCGAGCGCCTCACCCAGTGTGGACTCGGCTCACCCTTACCGGTGCAACCCCCCCCCCCCCCCGGTGATCAGGTATACAAAGGTTTCTGTCTTAATAGCTGCTGACACATGTGTGGTCGACGGTGTTGTACCCAGTTCTGGATGATGTATACCGCTACTGGCACTAGAAGATGCTGTGGTCCCACCGTTATGCTTTATACTACTATTCTCTGCAATATGTGTGGTCGCCGGCGGTGTGCCCGGTCCCGGACGTGTACCAAGACTGGAAGATAGTGTAGCCTCTGGTAGTAGACTGTGCATATCACTGAAGAGGAAAGGGGAGAATGTTGTAGCCTCACCCTTCTGCGCTGCAACACTTTGTGTCGAAGGGGTTGCAGACTCCTCTCTCCTTAGCCCACCCTGTTCAAGGCGTGTCCCTAGGCTAGAACTAGTAGAAGATATTGTGACCCAACCGTCATGACATCCAGGCGTTATTTTTTTCGAGGTGTCCATTGCGAAATAAGCGAGCAGTGCTGACATCAGCAGGCAGCCCGTAATCACTTTCCTCCAACGCCGAAGAGAAGGCGGCAGCAGACTAAAATGACTCGACGCATTGCTCTCCTTGGAGAAACAGAGAACGGAATCAGGCATGACTAGCTGACGGGAGCCGCACAGCTACAACTTACAAGAAATATCCTTTGGGATATACGTATGTCGCGAATGGCACCACCCTTCCATAAATAGTAATAATAATTCGCGAATCTTTCTTGGACAGTACTATTGTTGGATTGTATTGAGTCGTTTATGTCTTAAAGGGGAAGTTAAGGCTAAAATCAAAATTTCACCAGTTGTAGTCTTCGGGGTGGTTGGTTGGTTGGTTGTGTTTATTTGAATTCGCAAACCGAACGGACTGAACATGTCCAATGACAAGGAAGCGAATGAAGTCCAAGTAACCCAGGAATGGGGATACAGATGAAAAGAAAATTTGGGATCAGAAGGCTCTCAGCAGAGGAAGAAGAGAAAAGAAGGAAAGAAAAAGAATAAAGGAGAAAAAGAAGGAAAATCGTGGTCACGGCGAGAAGAAAGCTTTTAGCAAAAAGATAAAGGAAAGGATGAAGGAGAAAAGGGGTGCTGAGTCGAATGGTCGTAGTCCGAGGAAGCTGAGACGCTCCCTTCCTACTTGAATCCCAATCGAACTCGCGCACTTCCACCGAAACTGGGTGACTGCGCCCTACTAGATGGGGATTTGTATTCAAAATGTCACTAAAAGCGCCATTTCGTTCTTATAAAAGCATGGATGACCGCGATTGGCCCATATGTTGTAGTCTTTTGGACGCTGAGTCGACTGGTTTTGGTCCGAAAAGGCTGCGATGCAGCGTTCCTCCTTTATTCCCAATCAAACATGGTTGAATAAGCGGTCACGTGCTCCTGCGTACACCAGTCACCTGGTCACCGTGCCTGCAGGGTACAACTTACTAGCCTGTTTGACCTTTTTTTGGGTGCAGTCCTGGCACTCGAGTGGAACTCGAGTTGAACCTTGGTGTGAAAATTGTCGCCTGCTGGCGTGGTGACCAGGTGATTTGGGCACCCCTGAGCACGTGACCTCTTGTTCAACCATGTTCGATTGGGAATAAAGGAGGAACGCTGCATCGCAGCCTTTTCGGACCAAAACCAGTCGACTCAGCGTCCAAAAGACTACAACATATGGGCCAATCGCGGTCATCCGTGCTTTTATAAGAACGAAATGGCGCTTTTAGTGACATTTTGCATACAAATCCCCATCTAGTAGGGCGCAGTAGTAGTTAGTGCGGGGCAGGTTCTGGTGCACTTTTTGACCTTTGACCTTTGGGCCAAATAAGGCACACTGTGTCGGTCGTGCTTGGTCTGGCCCCGGGACTCCCCCAGGGTTTGACCTTTGACCTTTAGGTTAAATAAGGCACACTGTGTCGGGCGCGCTTGGTCTGGCCCCGGGACTCCCCCAGGGTTTGACCTTTGGCCCTGCCATGCCATAAATGTCATCATGTTCTTTTCCGTGGCGTTTATTGCACCAGGGAGTAGTAAAATACGTACTACTCCCTGATTTGCACATTGTAGATGTGCAGTGAATGACATATTGCGCATGCGCGCATAAGTACGCGGAGCGTGCGACCTTTAGTGGTTTTGCGGAAAAGACGCAGTGCGACACAAGGTGTACTAGTACACGTGCCACTATACTAATGTGTGTTATACCATGGTACGGTACGGAGGGCCTGTTTTCAGCCAATCAGCGCTCGTCTAGCCATGGTTATATTGGCCAGTATAAATCCCGCGCGGGATTTATATAGAATATAAATCCCGGTGCACAGTGCGTACGCTAGGGCACTGCCACCGTACAAGTTCAATGCCTGAAAGGCAGTGAACTTGTACGGCGGCAGTACTCCAGCGCACGGACCATGCATACATAAACAGACACAACGGACACCACATGCGCGTGTACACTCCACACAGAACGGCACACTGACGAGGAACAGTACACAATGGAAAAGAAGAATGACCTGGAATTCGTCTACAGAGTATTCTGTTATACTGAATCTGAGGATAAAGAACGTCGAATAACCACGAAGTATCCCGAATGGGTCAGCAATGTACATTGTACTTCGAAGAGTTGAAGATCATCAACGGACTGTCTTCTTCGTAAATAAGTTTATAATACCAGTGTACATGTACTTCAACCCGATTGGAAAAGGCTACAATAGATTGGATTGAAATGTGATACAAAACAGTGTATGCAAATGCATCTACTTGCAAGCAAAACTGATTATGAGATGCCGCATGTGAAAATCAGCACTGTACCATAATTATAGTAACACTTACTCCCAAAGAGTCCAAGCTGTAATCTAACTAGTGACGGTAGTTTGATTCAACGACAAACTCCAGCACCGCAGCAATTCAGTAGACTTCCGCACCGCTCACGACTCAAGACAAGATCATGAAGATGCTACAATATGCACTGGAACTGAAAGGAAATCTTATGCCAAACATCCACGGAGGAATCTCCTTCTGACCTTGCTCGACCATTCTTTCAATTGACAACTGATAACCATCAGAAGATGTTCATGTACTGCATGATGTAGGAGATCTCCAAATAGGTTCGTTGTTCTGGAAATGCGTAGGGGTACCTGGCATAAGTAGGATATGACCCTCGTAGTCGGGTTATACCGTACCCTCATATAAATCCCTCCTGCTATCGCAGTCGGGATTTATATTCAGCCGGTATAACCCTCTGACTCGGGTTATATCCTCTACATAGCCGACCTCATATACGATGTACGGGGAGATTTTTCCTCAGTATGTTGTAGGCAGTGCTGGAGGTGACGTGACGATGGCGGAGCCAAGTGCAAAACGATCCAGGCAGCCCAGACAGCCCACCTCGAGTGCCGTGCGTGGTTTTTTGAAAAAGTTTTCTTTGCCAGGTTCAGGCACTGATCCTCTCGTCTTTTTCAGCAGCCATCATGACGAGCTCCGACAGGTTCTGCTCGAGGAGCTTCAGTCTCACCCTTTCAAGGTGGTTTTAGTTTTGAGGGTGGAGATGACACGAGAGTCGGCCACGGGTAGTACGTCTGCCGTCCCGTTTTTTAGAAGTAGACCGGCTCGGATCCTCAGCGAAGGGGACATTGATGGTGCAGTCAAGACGATGGTGGCGAGGATCACTGGTCTTATTGATAAGTGGATGCAGAACGGATCCAACTGGACCGTTTCTCGAGTGAGACAGCTGGATGTGTCGACAGCAAAGTACACTCCTCTTCGAGGTGAGTTTCTGTTCATCCGGCAATGTTTGTTCGAAGCCTGTCGAATTTCTTGTGGAAAGTTGTAGATGTATGTTTTGTACCAGATGTACAGTTTTTCGTGATTGTCGCGAGGGTGTAGTTGTGATGTGGTGTTACTCTGAGCAAAGCCTTCGGTGTATTTTTGTGGTGTTCTGTAGGTGGTGCAGCTGCTATCCCGCCGAAATTAGAAAAAAAGAAGGCCATCATTAACGTAAAGAACAACGATGACAGGTGTTTGATGTGGGCGTTGTTGTCAGCGCTGCACCCCGTCAAACAGAATGCTGAGCGTGCATCCAAGTACACCCAGTATCTTGAGGAGCTGCGGTTCGACGGTGTAATGTTCCCTGCAACGCTCCGTGATGTATCCAAAGTGGAGATACAGAATGGTCTTGCAATCAATGTGTTTGGGTACGAGGGGAATCTGTACCCACTCTATCTCAGCGAGCGACAGGAGACTCCCATCAACCTCCTTCTTCATGACAACCACTTCACATGGATAAAAAAACTTCAGTCGTGCATGCGAGAATAAGAACAGACATGCCACACACTATTGCTTCCGATGCCTCTCCGCACACAAAACAGCAGACTCCCTGCAGCATCACAGCGAGAGATGTCAGGTGATGAAGCCTGTGCCAGTAGTCATGCCCACAGCAAAGGACAGCATCCTCAAATATACAAATTTGAAGCACAGGATGGTGGCTCCATATATCATTTACGCTGATACGGAGGCCATCATTGAGCCGATGGAGGAACAGCATGGCAGCAGCACTGTACGCACAGCCCGTCATGTACCATGCAGCATCAGGTATGTTTTGTTGTTGGTGTTGTTTTTGACTAATGTTTGCTGTACTCATGCCTGCACAGTGCTTCCTGTTATTCCTTCTTGTCTTGTTCTCCCCTAATTGTGTTCGTGTTGTAGTATGTGCATTTTGTGTGATTCCATTTTTTCAAAAAAATCACTCATTCTTACTTTCCTTCTTCTTTTATGCTCTTGTAGATATGCTGCCATCCGATCCAACGGTGAAGTCCGTGGCGAGTTTGACGACTGCAGTGAGAATGCCATTCACAACTTTTTCGACAGTCTCAAAGAGTTGGAAGGCAGTATCCAGGAGGATTTGGCTGATATCAAGCCAATTCACATGACGGCAGAACTGGAGCTTGAGTTTCAGAACGCAGTCAACTGCTGGATATGTGATGAAGTACTTGGAGAAGATCGTGTTCGTGATCATGATCATCTCACTGGTAAGTATTATAATTTTTTGTTTATTTTTGTTGTTTTGCAGTTGTGTGTAGATATGCGCATGATGTGTATAGTGCATTTTCATGTCTTTGTAGCTGTTTGCATCTGTGTTTTATCATGGTGTATTGAATTGTATTGTCTGTGGTATCACCTTCACTGTAGATGTTTACTATGTTTGTGTATTCCCCTCTTTCTGAATATCTGCACAGGCAACTACCGTGGTGCTGCACACTACCAGTGTAATATTCAGCTAAGTATCTACCCAGATCGCCAGATCATTCCGGTTGTGTTTCACAACCTGAAAGGGTACGATGCTCACCACCTCATCGCCCACATTGGTATGACCGAGGTTGAAGAGGTGGAGTACGAGGACTCTAACCAGCGTAAGCGGATTAAGAAGGTTGGTGAGATCAGTGTCATCGCCAACAACATGGAGAAATATATTTCATTCAAGTGGCGTCAGTACCGCTTCATCGACTCCATGGCCTTCTTGAACTCCTCTCTTGACTCGTTGGTGAGCAACACCCCGGAAGATGCGCTCAAGCTTACTCGTACATTGGCCCATCATGACCTTCTCCTGCGTAAGGGTGTCTACCCCTACGAGTACATGGACTCCTTTGCTCGGTTTGATGAGACACAGCTGCCACCTAAATCAGCATTTGAGTCTAGTTTGACTGGAGAAGGTATCAGTGATGCCGACTATGCCCATGCTCAGAACGTATGGCAGGTAAGCAGCTTGTGCCTTCTGTATTGTGCTCTACTTATGACTTTGAATGCTTTTGTGATGTGCTCTACTCATTTTTTTTGTACTCATTGCTCTCTATCTGTGGATGCTTGTGTGCATGTGTGTATGGATGCTTGCGTGTGTGTGTGTGTGCGTTGTTTTTTTGTTTTTCGTTTTGCAGACATTTGAGTGCAGTACAATGGAGGCCTATCATGACCTCTATTTGCAAACAGATGTCTATCTTCTAGCAGATGTCTTTGAGCATTTCCGCAAGACGGCATACAAGACGTATGGGTTGGATCCAGCCCATTACCTTACTCTCCCAGGTATGTTCATCAGTCTTTGTTGTTGTCCAATGTATTCTCTCCTTTAGATGGTGTTCTCTGTTAGTATTCTTGTGCTTTCTTGTCGGTGTATTTATATACTTTTTGCATGGTGTATTGACTTTCGTGTTTGTGTTCTGGTGTGTTGTATGGTGTTATGTAGGATATGCATGGGATGCTCTACTACGGTTCACCCAGATTGAACTGCAGCTGCTCACGGATGTAGACATGCATCTGTTTGTCGAAGCCGGTCTACGTGGGGGCATCTCAATGGCGTCGCAGCGGTACGGCAAGGCCAACAACCCAACGATGGATCAGTACAATTCTGCCGAGCCCACATCATACCTGCTATACCTTGACGCCAACAACCTGTATGGCTGGGCCATGTGCCAGAGTATGCCGACATCCGAGTTTGCCTGGTGTGACAAGAACCTGTCCGAGATACTGGCACACCCTGTAGATTCGAGCTCTGGGTTCATTGTGGAGTGTGATCTTGAGGTACCCTCTTCGCTGCACCACTACTTCAATGATTATCCACTCGCACCGGAAGTGATGAGAACATTCTCAGATAAGCTATCACCATACCAACAAGCACTTGTGGAGGAGCTCAAAGTGTCAGCCGTAGATGGAGTCAAATTGACACCCAGTCTCCTACCCAAGTCCAAATATGTGTTACACTACCGTACACTGCAGCTGTATTCGCGTCTGGGCATGGTGGTGACCGCTGTTCACAAGGTGTTGGGATTTCAGCAGAGTGCCTGGATGGCTCCCTACATCAATCTGAACACTGCACTTCGCACGAGGGCTACAACCGACTTTGAGAAGAGCTTTTACAAGGTAAATGCAACCGTTGTGTGCAGTCTTGTATGTTGTTGTTGGTTGTTGTTGTTGTTGTTGTTGTTTTTGTTGTTGTTTTTGTCGCATGTATGGTGCAAGTGTGACGTGGAGTATGCTAATTGAAAAATATGCTGATGTGAAGGAATGGCATGATATGATTCTCATGTGTCATGTTTGCCTGTTTGTGTGCTGCAGCTGATGAACAACTCAGTCTTTGGCAAGACGATGGAGAACGTTCGTAATCGAATACGCATCGATCTCTTGCGAGAAGAAAGTGAGGAGCAGGTACTGAGGGCAGTGAGCAAGCCTACATATGTGCGGCACGACATTTTCCCGAACGGGCTTGTCGGAATAGAAAAGCAGCACACTGAGATCAAGCTCAACAAGCCGGTCTATGTGGGTATGTCGATACTAGACCTGTCAAAGGTGCACATGTACTCCTTCTACTACGATGTGCTGAAGGAGCAGTACGGTAGCAGAATCCAGCTGTTGTACACCGACACCGACTCTGTTATTGTGCACATAACCACCGGTGATGTTTATGCAGAGATGGATCTGTCTCTGTATGACACCAGCAACTTTCCCACTGACCATCCTCAGTACACTTCTGTCAATAAGAAAGTGGTTGGCAAATTCAAAGATGAGCTTGGTGGGAAATCCATGGTGGAGTTTGTAGGTCTAAGATCGAAGATGTACTCCTACATCGGGCAGGAATCAGCCAAACGGGCCAAGGGTGTGCGGAAGGCAGTCCTGGCAAATACCATCACCCACGAGGACTATGTAGATGCACTGCTCAGTCATCGTGTGTCTTCCAGGCCTATGACGGGTCTCCGATCACATTGCCACGCAGTGTATGAGGAGGTAACCACCAAGGTGGCATTGTCTCCATTCGACTGCAAGCGGTACATACTGGATGATGGCATGGCCACACTTGCATATGGTCACAAGGACATTTAATGGACAGGGCCCCACATTGAACATGTTTCATCATTTTCATACAAAACTCCCCGCCGTTCTTCTGTCATTAATTCCTCCTATCTTGGCGTGTGGGGCCGGTTCCAACAATATACATTTTTGTTAAATATTTCAGGCTTGTGCCTCAATCATATTGCAGGATATAGTGCATCGTGCGGTATAATAATCTTCATCGTATCATCAAATATTACCCTACACACTTTGGTTTGCAGTGTGTGCACAGCATAGTCCATATATCATCAAATTGATCAAGTTCAGTAACTGCGGGCATATATTTCCCTAGCTTGAGAAAATGCTTATATACTTGCGTAAATTTATGCTCACAATGATGACATTAAAATGAGATTAACTCTGCCACACATTATATTACCAGACACTGTTGTTGTTGTTGTCGTCATCGTTGCTGCTGTTGTTGTTGGTTGTTGTTGGCTGTTGTTGGCTGTTGTCGGTTGTTGATGGTTGTTGGTTGTTGTTGTTGGTTGTTGTTGTTGGTTGTTGTTGTTGGTTGTTGCTGTTGGTTGTTGTTGTTGGTTGTTGTTGTTGGTTGTTGTTTGTTGTTGTTATTGTTGGTTGTTGTTGTTGGTTGTTGTTGTTGGTTGTTGTTGTTGGTTGTTGTTGTTGGTTGTTGTTGTTGGTTGTTGTTGGTTGTTGTTGTTGGTTGTTGTTGTTGGTTGTTGTTGGTTGTTATTGGTTGTTGTTGGTTGTTGTTGGTTGTTGTTGGTTGTTGTTGGTTGTTGTTGTTGGTTGTTGTTTGTTGTTTGTTGTTGTTGGTTGTTGTTGTTGGTTGTTGTTGGTTGTTGTCGGTTGTTGTTGGTTGTTGTTGGTTGTTGTTGGTTGTTGTTGGCTGTTGTTGCTGGTTGTTGTTGTTGGTTGTTGTCGGTTGTTGTTGGTTGTTGTCGGTTGTTGTTAGTTGTTGTTGTTTGTTGTTGGTTGTTGTTGGTTGTTGTTGTTGGTTGTTGTCGGTTGTTGTCGGTTGTTGTTGGTTGTTGTTGTTGGCTGTTGTTGCTGGTTGTTGTTGGTTGCTGTTGTTGGTTGCTGTTGTTGGTTGTTGTCGGTTGTTGTCGGTTGTTGTTGGTTGTTGTTGGTTGTTGTTGGTTGTTGTTGGTTGTTGTTGGTTGTTGTTGTTTGTTGTCCCATGGGACAATGAAACTACAAAGGAAAGTGGCTACTGACGAGGCACCTGTGACCACGCCAATGCCTGAAACTGATGAAGCTGAGGAACGGAGGATACTTGAGTTGGCCCTTAGCCGACTTGAGCGTGATTAACAGCAGTGTTTACACTCCTCAGCAAATCCCATCAAATCGGAGCACATGTTGACGGGACCTTAGAGTTGGCACTGCTCAGTAATGGCAAAATATTTTAAATGGCCGCCAAGACCTTTCTCAATAGGCGGAAGAGTCACCTGTATGCAATACGTTGTATATGTCATGTGTGTGTATTGTATATGCATTGGGCTCGAGTAACTCAACAGCATTCGCTCAGTAACACTCAACACTTCCACCATCAAATGGGAATACACGTGTTGAAGCAAGCTTAGAATGAGCGTTACTTGGTAATAACAGAATGAACCCGATGACCTACATGTACGTAAACAGGTGGCTAAATCACTGGTACACAAACGCATTCGGCATGAGATAAGCATTTACTCACTCATCAACTGTAATATGCTCCATGCGGTCGCCAGGTGTGTGTCTCTGCTAGGTAAATGGACGGGATAAGGTATTATGTTCAGTTCATGTTCGAGTCCGTTGTAGTTTTGACAGAGATCGAGATGTCACGCTGGTTGCTGAATTTGATGACGGCAACTCAAACCAATAGTGGTCAGGAAGTTGGTCCACGAGCTGCTGTTGTCCAACGGAACGATGATAGTGACGAAGATGAAGCAGAAGAAAGTGTTAAATTTGTTCTCAGGAAGAGGAAGAGAGTGACGACATCATCCTTGCTCCTACCTGTCATGTTGAATCCAGGATTTCTGGGTTTTGTAGGATCGTTGCCACGCTGGTGCTGGTGCCGTCAACGGCACCAGCACAGTCAGGTAGGTGGCACAGAGATTTAAAGCCGGAGACGACGTCAGCTACATTGAGCTGGTCTTGGGGAAAGACAATGAACTTAGGGGCAAGTTGCCGGGATGCAGATACACACGCTTGCACGATGTTATGGACTGTAGAAGTACCAATGCGATACTCTTTTGCCAACTGCTGGAATTCCTCGGCATGAGCCATCCATTGGAGGAATATTGCAAGACGTTTTTTCCCAGAGATCACTTGCGCAAGTGCGTCGTCTGACAATCAATGGTATCTTTGACCAAATCGTGCACAGCAAGAAATGTGCATTTGGTCACTCGAAACTTTTCGATGAACCTCTCATCTTCGACACCTTGGAAGTCTTGTCCAAGTCTACTCCATGTCCCCAAGATCTCTTTTTCCCAAACACCATCATCGTCGCCATCAGCATGAGCCGACGGCGACGACGATGGTGTTTGGGAAAAAGAGATCTTGGGGACATGGAGTAGACTTGGACAAGACTTCCAAGGTGTCGAAGATGAGAGGTTCATCGAAAAGTTTCGAGTGACCAAATGCACATTTCTTGCTGTGCACGATTTGGTCAAAGATACCATTGATTGTCAGACGACGCACTTGCGCAAGTGATCTCTGGGAAAAAACGTCTTGCAATATTCCTCCAATGGATGGCTCATGCCGAGGAATTCCAGCAGTTGGCAAAAGAGTATCGCATTGGTACTTCTACAGTCCATAACATCGTGCAAGCGTGTGTATCTGCATCCCGGCAACTTGCCCCTAAGTTCATTGTCTTTCCCCAAGACCAGCTCAATGTAGCTGACGTCGTCTCCGGCTTTAAATCTCTGTGCCACCTACCTGACTGTGCTGGTGCCGTTGACGGCACCAGCACCAGCGTGGCAACGATCCTACAAAACCCAGAAATCCTGGATTCAACATGACAGGTAGGAGCAAGGATGATGTCGTCACTCTCTTCCTCTTCCTGAGAACAAATTTAACACTTTCTTCTGCTTCATCTTCGTCACTATCATCGTTCCGTTGGACAACAGCAGCTCGTGGACCAACTTCCTGACCACTATTGGTTTGAGTTGCCGTCATCAAATTCAGCAACCAGCGTGACATCTCGATCTCTGTCAAAACTACAACGGACTCGAACATGAACTGAACATAATACCTTATCCCGTCCATTTACCTAGCAGAGACACACACCTGGCGACCGCATGGAACATATTACAGTTGATGAGTGAGTAAATGCTTATCTCATGCCGAATGCGTTTGTGTACCAGTGATTTAGCCACCTGTTTACGTACATGTAGGTCATCGGGTTCATTCTGTTATTACCAAGTAACGCTCATTCTAAGCTTGCTTCAACACGTGTATTCCCATTTGATGGTGGAAGTGTTGAGTGTTACTGAGCGAATGCTGTTGAGTTACTCGAGCCCAATGCATATACAATACACACACATGACATATACAACGTATTGCATACAGGTGACTCTTCCGCCTATTGAGAAAGGTCTTGGCGGCCATTTAAAATATTTTGCCATTACTGAGCAGTGCCAACTCTAAGGTCCCGTCAACATGTGCTCCGATTTGATGGGATTTGCTGAGGAGTGTAAACACTGCTGTTAATCACGCTCAAGTCGGCTAAGGGCCAACTCAAGTATCCTCCGTTCCTCAGCTTCATCAGTTTCAGGCATTGGCGTGGTCACAGGTGCCTCGTCAGTAGCCACTTTCCTTTGTAGTTTCATTGTCCCATGGGACAACAAACAACAACAACCAACAACAACCAACAACAACCAACAACAACCAACAACAACCAACAACAACCGACAACAACCGACAACAACCAACAACAGCAACCAACAACAGCAACCAACAACAACCAGCAACAACAGCCAACAACAACAACCAACAACAACCGACAACAACCGACAACAACCAACAACAACAACCAACAACAACCAACAACAAACAACAACAACTAACAACAACCGACAACAACCAACAACAACCGACAACAACCAACAACAACAACCAGCAACAACAGCCAACAACAACCAACAACAACCAACAACAACCAACAACAACCGACAACAACCAACAACAACCAACAACAACAACCAACAACAACAAACAACAAACAACAACCAACAACAACAACCAACAACAACCAACAACAACCAACAACAACCAACAACAACCAATAACAACCAACAACAACCAACAACAACCAACAACAACAACCAACAACAACCAACAACAACAACCAACAACAACAACCAACAACAACAACCAACAACAACAACCAACAACAACAACCAACAATAACAACAACAAACAACAACCAACAACAACAACCAACAACAACAACCAACAACAACAACCAACAATAACAACAACAAACAACAACCAACAACAACAACCAACAACAACAACCAACAGCAACAACCAACAACAACAACCAACAACAACAACCAACAACAACAACCAACAACCATCAACAACCGACAACAGCCAACAACAGCCAACAACAACCAACAACAACAGCAGCAACGATGACGACAACAACAACAACAGTGTCTGGTAATATAATGTGTGGCAGAGTTAATCTCATTTTAATGTCATCATTGTGAGCATAAATTTACGCAAGTATATAAGCATTTTCTCAAGCTAGGGAAATATATGCCCGCAGTTACTGAACTTGATCAATTTGATGATATATGGACTATGCTGTGCACACACTGCAAACCAAAGTGTGTAGGGTAATATTTGATGATACGATGAAGATTATTATACCGCACGATGCACTATATCCTGCAATATGATTGAGGCACAAGCCTGAAATATTTAACAAAAATGTATATTGTTGGAACCGGCCCCACACGCCAAGATAGGAGGAATTAATGACAGAAGAACGGCGGGGAGTTTTGTATGAAAATGATGAAACATGTTCAATGTGGGGCCCTGTCCATTAAATGTCCTTGTGACCATATGCAAGTGTGGCCATGCCATCATCCAGTATGTACCGCTTGCAGTCGAATGGAGACAATGCCACCTTGGTGGTTACCTCCTCATACACTGCGTGGCAATGTGATCGGAGACCCGTCATAGGCCTGGAAGACACACGATGACTGAGCAGTGCATCTACATAGTCCTCGTGGGTGATGGTATTTGCCAGGACTGCCTTCCGCACACCCTTGGCCCGTTTGGCTGATTCCTGCCCGATGTAGGAGTACATCTTCGATCTTAGACCTACAAACTCCACCATGGATTTCCCACCAAGCTCATCTTTGAATTTGCCAACCACTTTCTTATTGACAGAAGTGTACTGAGGAT